CAGAACTCCAGAGGCAGCAACAATGTCAACCTCTGCTTTGCACATCAAATCCAGGCCTTCATAAGTAATCTTTACAACAAATCACTTTCATTCTTTGACAAGAATAAGTTAATAAATCTAGAGTGCTGTTCATGATGTTGGGTACAGAGACACAACAATGAGCCTGCAAAACAACAGCTTATGGCTTTTTCAGATTAGTGACAATAGAAATATAATTTTGCCTTGAAGATGGGCAAGGAGGCACAGGAGAAAAGCCAAGAGTCAAAGGTAAAGGGATGACATGGTGACATGAGAATGACAGTTCCATCCTCCACATGCAGGTAAAGAGGGGAAAAAAAAAATCAATGGCAATTAATAAGTAAATCGTCATGTGGATAAAATTCCTTCTTAAGCAAGTGCAAAGGTATTGCCCATTTGTTGATCATTTTTAAATGCAATAAAATGTTTTCTGACACCAAAACTAAAACTGAGAGCTAGAGAGGCAGAAGAACAAATAGAGCATTTGCCTTGTTCACAGCCAACGCAGGTTCCACACTCTGCATCCCAAATGGTCTCCCAAGGCCCTGCAAAATACATCTATGAGCACAGGGCTAGGAGTAAGCCCAGCGGCTTGCGTCAGTAGACCCCTTCCCCCAGCAAAAAATAAATAAAACATCAAATCTGACTTAAAACTTTGTAACACTGAAGAAAAACAACATTTTCTCCCGTTAAGTTCAAAAGGGAAAAAATATATATAAAAACATAAATGAAATATTAAAAAACTCTATTCCTATTATCCCTATATATCATAAAAGAAAGGGGTTATAACTATGAGAGAATTTCTCTAAAACCAAGCACAAAAAGAGCTAAATAAAACTATAAGGGAGCCCTGTGTTGTGGACATGTATTTTAAGAAAAGCTGATCATGTTTTCCTAATTAATTTGTCTGGTTCTCAGTCTCCAAATCCTTACAGGTAACATTGAAGCAGTAGAGCTTTCTATGCTTTGTTACAAAAATTTAAGATCTAAAAATTATCCGTGCAGAGAACAAAATATGAATGCTTATAGATACTTATATGCATTGACCTTATAAGTTTATTTGTAAAAGTTTATGTGATTTAAAACATGGTGATTTGTCATTCATCCCACTTTAGAACAAGAGATCAATGGTATCCATTATAATATGCATGAATATAAAATGTATGGATATTTAAGTTTGAAAATATTGAGTGAATAGTTAATTTGATAAAAGTTAATAATTGCTCATAATTTTTTTAAAAAAATAAAGTCAGCAACAAAAGCCTGCAAAACACTGCATTTTTTTATGTTAAAAAAAATAAAGAATCACACGCTAAAATAATAGGCATAAAAACCTACTTTGCATTTGGAAATTTAAATTAAATGTAAGTCTTAACAATCAGAAAACTTTAACTATTACTAGAATCAGTAAGAAAAACTGTATTGGTAAAGCACAATGGGAAAGAACAGCAGAAAGCAAAAATCAGGAAAAATGAATATATAACAGTACTTTAATCACAAAGTTGTTGCTTATACTCTGAAGTTTATAAACACCACTTCAACCTATACTTCACATTTTTCACACTTTGATTTTGGAGAAACACTGAAGAGAAACATCTGTTCTTCATCTCATCTCTATAAAAAGTTCTTTGTCAATAAACATTGGCTTCCACAAGTGGAAGATGCTATCATTACTCAAAATAATGTGCTGGCAATGCTTAAGTCATAATAAATTAAATCCTATTCCAACAGAGGTTGTGTGTTTCTTTTTTTCCCCCTTCCTACGTTGACGAGGACACAGAGATCAATACTCCTCACTACAAGAGCATTTTGCAGAAATTTTCTCTTGTAACAAACAGCAACCCCAAATCCTCAAACATGATCTGTCACTTTTAGTTTAGGAGAAGATACACTACATTCATACCCTTAGGTCATCTTTGACAACAGGCAATACTATGCCAGCTCTTATTAAACACTATTCGTATCACTGCCCTCAAAATTTCCTTTAAAATTACCATCTTTTGTATGCACGGAACAGGCTGTCAACTTTGAAAGTGCCAATGAGAGACAAGATCTGTCCCCATAGTTCATTTTCAGCACTCTTTCAACACCAAGACAGTAGAACCTTGAAGGATGTAAGCTTAGCATTAATTATTTGGTGTTACCAGAATTGATAAAACAATCTATTTTTCTACATAATTTTTCAAAAAAATAGCAATGTATCTATACCTGTAAGTACAAGTGATAGGCACAATAAACTATGTTAAAAGAAAAATAAAGCTACTACAAGTATTAAAATATATTTTCAAGGGAGGTGGGAACTGACTCAGTGGCTAAAGAGTCCGCCGTGGAAAGGTGAAGTCTCAAGATTGCTCCCCAGCACCACACAATGCACACCTTGAGTACAACATTCTCAAAAAGATTGGCTATTTGACTGTATTTGAATCCATACCCAGTGGCTATAGAAAGTGAATATGCTGACAATACCATGTAGAAGAGTGTGAGTGCAATAACTCAGGAGTAGGCATGTCCCCCTGTATCCTCATGCATTCATTATTCAGAGATTTCATGAAAAACAAGAGGCATTCAGACGTACGCTCAGAACCAGAGGGACAGTTAAACAGGCTAGAGTTCATGTTCTGCACACATGTCTGGGTTAAGCCCATATCACTAAAGGTCTTAGGAGCACAGAACCATAAATAGAACAAAAACACTATTGGCTATTCTTGGGTATTAATCTCATATTTTGTTACTTTATATTGCACCAGGAGGATTACTCCATAGCTTAGAGGCCAGCGAGGCATTCTAGGGGAAAGGGCAGCTCAGATAGAGAAGGGAGCACCAAATAAAGGATGTTTGGAGGATCCTCCCAGGAGGGAAGATGCATGTTGAAAGTAGACTATGGACTGAACATGTTTGCCACTCAAAACCTCTTTTGCAGACCACAACACCCAAAAGGAGAGAGAGAACACAAGGGATCGCCCTGCCAGAGGCAGGGTGGGATGGGAGGGATGGGGGTGGGAGGGATATTATCCATGGTGGTGGAAAATGGGCACTGGTGGAGCGATGGGTATTTGATCATTGTATAATCTAAACCCAAGCACAAAAAATTGTAAATCTACAACTGTACCTCATGGTGTTTTAAAAAAAAAAATTGGAATTTCAAAATCACGTGGCCCTACTGCAGCCACGCGACATCATGTTATTCATAACCAGAAGTAGAACACAAATTGTCTACTGTTGCCTTTTCAGCAGATCTGAGTGTTGGGGTAAAATCTCAAATAATAATAGTGGGTTTGGTGTCAAAATATTGAACGTGATAAAAGTAGAGAGAGAGTAATGTGGAAATCATCTGCCCCACAGGTAGGGGGAGGGTGTGGGATGGGGGTACACTGGGGTTTTTGGTAGTGGAGAATGGGCACTGGTGAAGGTATGGGTGTTTCATTGTGTGACCGAGACTTAGACCGAAAGCTTTGTAACTGCTCTCATGGTGATTCAATAAATAAAAGTATAAAAAAAAAAACACCTACAAGCTGGGAAAAAAAATTAAAAAAAAAACACTATTGGATGTGGTTCAGAAATTAAAGCAAAGAAAAACAACAATAAAATAAAGCAAAAGAGCTGCTGTAGAGCATTCAAAAAAGATAATTATTCAAGCATGTAGGAATATAAGATACGCTATCTCTCTAACTGAATACTGACGTCAAATATCCTAGTTCCTATTTCTCAAAAAAAAAAGTCTGGGATTTTATGATTTATTAAGGTAATATAAACCACATCTTATGATTAGAAGTTTCCTTTAAAATGGAGTTATATATAATGCATAAAGATAAACCTTTTATAATGAGCTATAGAATCTACTGAGAGAAGCATTCCAGAGGCTAAGAGCATTATTAAACAATGCTAATGTGAGATAACACTATAGAAAAGAGACCAGCATCAGAAGACAAGAAACAGGGGTTAAATTTTGACCGAGTCAATTTTAAGATCTTTGTGGCTCTGGGCAATTATCAGAGAGTCTATATTTTAATCTTCCCCCGTATAAAAGTACTAAAGGTTATAGTATTAAAAATCAAGTAAATCTTACAATAATACAGGTAAAAGACATCTGATGACAAGCATTATAAAATCTATTAACTTAAATGTGAATGTAGCTCATATTTGTCTTCCAGCTACTGTCTCCGCCACTTCTCATTGGAGCAACCTATGTTCAATCTATTTATTTTACCCCAAAGTCCCTTTCTGAAACTTCTGACAAATCCTTGCAGTTATGTGGGTTTTTGTTAATATTCCCCAAGTTGTTTCTAAGGGAGATTTGTATGGCTTATAATTATTTTTACTTGTACCATTATTGATTTATATTTAATCATCTATTCACTAGAGCTATTTTTTATAAGTTTTCATATGGCAGGATTCTTCATTTTATTAAAGTTCTAGCTCCAGGGTCAATCTCTCAAAAAGGCCTTCTAAATTACCCTATCTGAAATATAATCTGTTATTTTGTGTCTTCTTACAGTACACCCCAGTGTCATTCATTTTTAGTATCTTTCTACATAGTGTGCAAAAATATCTGAACATTGATCGTTTATATGAACAAGGACCTTGAACTTAACTTACAGTCCTGTATCTATACCAGTAGATATCTAAAGTTATCAAGTTATCGAATAGCATTAATATATCACAATTCTTCTAGTATCCAAGATTAATGAAGATCACTTTGCAAGTTTAACTTTCTCAATTTGAAAGTCAGACTTGGAGATTCTTTTGAACCTTAAAAACGCCAGAATTAATTGATGTCTGCCATTGGATTTTCAGAGAGCTAAAATTTAGAGGTCTACATACAAATAGAGACTATGGTTTTTATGTCATGAGTACATGGTTTGGATAACAAAAATAGTATACACAGAATTATTTTAAGTAGTAATATGAACATAAGGTAAAGAAAGTTGCTTTTATTCTAATAAACCCTTGGATTTCAAGATGTGAAAACAATGTAACCTTACCTCTCACAATAAGCTGAGCAAAATTAGATACACCTGAACCTCTTTCTGACTGAGTAACACAACGATACAAATCCTGGTCAGCTTTTGTCACTTCTTGCAATCTGAAGGTAGCTGCAAATCTTCTGTGATTGATATTCTTGGTCTGAGCTACTGGTATATCTTCTCCATTTCGTCTCTGCAAACAGAACATTTTAAGAAACACGTTTTTAACATTTCCATAAATCTAAGCATCTTGGTAGCCAATATACATAAGAAATTATTTCTGTTGATAAATTAATGGGGGAAGGGGTTGTCTGTGCTATCTTACAAAGTTTTATCATTGTCCTTCGATACGGGGAAAAAAAATCAAACTAGTAAATATTGATATCCTTTAAGGAATGGAAAGTTGGCACCATGATAGTAATCCAAGTTTTCAATAAAATTGATATTAGATCAAAATATGTGAATTAAGAAGATAGCTAATGACTCTGTGAGAAATGAGCCCCGGCATCCTCACTCTCAGAGTATGTCTATTTACAGGTTTCTTGGAATTCTTAATCTATATTGCAGGTATTGTAATAAATGTGTGCTTTCAGTGAGATCAATACTATTCCAGAAGCAAGTCTATATTCTACTATGTTGCATGTGACCAGAAAAAAAAAATGACAATTACTTTAAAAAAAAATTCCATGTAAAATCTGGAAACTTCTCTTTGCTGTTAATGACAATTTATACCGTTTTAAAAGAAATTGGGTAAAGTGAACCGTAATCACTGTGATGGCACAAACAGCTGCTTAAATTTCAATGAAAAACTGTATAGACACCTCTTCAAAAATTAAGAATTAACTTTCCAAATGATTGAGCATTTCCACATCTAGGCCTCTACCCCAAGTGCCCAGTTTGAAAAGACATCTGCACTCCTATTGTAATGCTTAACACTGGCCAAGAAATGAAAACAGCCCAAGTGCTCAAGAACAGATGAATGTGGATAAAGAAACTTTGGTATGGGGACAGAGATACAGTGTGTAGCATGTAGAGCTTGGTTTTTCAAGGTTCCATCTTCAGCAATCCAGGTCTGATCTGTGGAACCCCATATGGTACAGAAAGGGAGGGAGAGAGGAAAGAAGGGAGGAGTGAGGAAGAAGGAAGGAAGGGAGGGAGGGAGGAAGGAAGGAAGGAAGGAAGGAAGGAAGGAAGGAAGGAAGGAAGGAAGGAAGGAAGGGAGGGAGGGAGGGAGGGAGGGAGGGAGGGAGGGAGGGAGGGAGGGAAAGTATTGTGATACATACAGAGGGAATACTAGTCAGATATAAGAAAAGATAAAATCATGCTACTTGCCATTATGTTACATGGATGAATGAAGTCAGAGAAACAGGGATACGTAGTGATCTCTCACTCAAGGAATATAAAGATACATAGTATAAAAAAACAAATGCTTAGTATCAACAGACATTGAGAATCAGCCTATCTAGCCAGAGGGTAGGGAAGAGAGCGTGTGGAAGGGGACCTTGAGGTATTGATAAAGATACTCTGAGCAGGTTGTGGGTGTGGAAATACAACACTGTATACCAAAGTTTTATTATTAATAGTAACTGCAAAACACAGTACCAAAATGAAAAACAGAAAACCTAAAGGAATCAAAGGAAACTAAATGTTAACAACATCTGTCAACTTCCAAAATGAAAATTTGGAAAACATATTTATGACAGTTCACATCACGTGAGACTAGTAAAGAATGAACTATAGGGGAAATGGCTGAAAACTTCAACTATAATAATATATGAAATATCTACATGTTGAAAGACATAAATTTAAAAAAAATCGATAAATAGCCAGATAAGGTAAAGATCTGCAGTTCAAAAAGAAAGAGGCATAATAAAAATATGAGCAGGATATGAAAAAGAAAAAACACATGTCTATCCAAGTAAAGATACTTTGAATTATGCTTGGAAGTATTTATATGACAAAAAACAGCACAAAGGCAAAGAAAAACACAACTATGAGAAGAAATTGATGAGGAACCTCAATCCTCATTTCTTGTTAATGAAACACAACATTTCCCTTTATACTACTTGAACTATCGTTCTACACTCATATAAATACCCTAAAATTACTATTGATTTTGCAATAAACTATAAAATAGGAGTACAAACTGTTAAGTGATTTCACAAAGTAATTTATTACTACCTAGTTAAGGTGAAGATGTATGGATATTTGAACCAAACAAGTCCACTTCTACAACTTAAAGCACTTTTGCAAATGTATCAAGGAGATGTATACAAAGATGCTGAACTCAAAAATTATTTACCAAGGTTAAAAGTGGGAAAGGTACACATGTTTACAAGCAATCCATAAATAAACTGAGACCCATTCCATAAAATGCAAAGTGGTACTTAAACTAAGCAAACTAAGACAAAGAACAGTTACAAGCAAAATGTTAAACAGTTTTAACCAAAGCTACAAACTGATGATTTGTAGTATTTGTACACTTCTACAGTCAAATTCCCAATGTAGTAACAGTTAAATTTAAAAATTTAAAAGAATTTAAAAATTCCTGAAAGTGGGGGTGTTAGGGTGCATGCCTTGTATGCAGTCTATCAGGGTCGGTCCAGTGCACAATATATGGCTGCCTGAGTGTACTAGGTGTGATCCCTGAGCACAAGACCAGGAGTAAGCTCTGAGTACTATTGCCTGGTATGCACCCCCACCCCAAAATGGAACACAACACAAGCAATGAGTATCATCACCCACATGATGTTCTTAAATTATACTTTCAGTAAAACAAATTAGAGTATTTGGTCCGCTGGAGAAACTGTTCAATATGACAATGGAACAATACATAATATCAAGTAAAAAGGGAATGCCACTCTAGTTATTCACATAAAAAGAAATATGGAAGGATTTGAGGGCAAGGAACATAAGATAACTCAGCAAGGCTCAAATTGACCAAACATGGGAACATTTTGATATTTAATAACAGTACTAATGCATAAAATGCATAAAAGAGCCTTGAATATAATCTCAGGGCTAGGATGAAAGAGACGTTACTGGGGCCTGCTCGAGGCAATCGACGAATAACTGGATGATGATGAAATAACTAATGCATAAATTGGAGGCCATTAGATGTTTAAATCCATGAATTCATATTTTTTTTTTTTTGCTTTTTTGGATCACACCCAGCGATGCTCAGAGGCTATTCCTGGCTCTGCACTCAGGAATTCCCCCTGCCAGTGCTTGGGGGACCATATGGGATGCTGGGGATCGAACCCAGGTCGGTCACGTGCAAGGCAAACGCCCTACCTGCTCCAGCCCCAAATTCATAATATTTTTTAAAAATTCATTTATTTGTTTGAATTTTGTTTAATTTTTCTTTCATTTTTGGACAGGGATGTACAGCAGGCAGTACTCAGAGCTTACTCCTGGTTTGTGCTCAGGGATCATGCCTCACAAGTCTGAAAAAAAAAATGAACTCACTGAATTGAAAATTAGTTAATCAAACAATATGTCAGCATCTATCATCCCTTAGTTAAACAATACATAAGAAGACCCTTTCCCATTCAGTAAGGACTCACATGTGACTGACAGACTCAGAAAATCACAACTATAACTATTGGGACAAACATAGTCATTAAGAATAACCACAGGTAAGACCACAAAAAGGAAAAAAAATGTACATTGTGTCTCCTATAACCACATCAAGCATCACTATGAGAGTTGCTAAATTTATCAACCTTGAACTGAAAATTCAGAGGTACATGCTGAATCAACACAGTCATCTGTAAGCAGACCACAGGAAAGTTCACCTCGAAGAGACAGTTCTTCAACAATTCTGAGGAACAGGAAGAAATGAAGGACAAACAATAGATTGAGAGACAGAAATAGGCATAGATAGACATAAATATAAAATTTTTATGAAACCTAAGGATTAAGAAACAGATAAATGAGGGAAAATATTTAAACCTCCACAAGGGTTAAAAGTCAAAAGGGATGTTATTTGTAGGTCCAGGAGACAAAAGAGCAGTGGATGGACTTTAAGGGTTGGGCTATGTGTTGTATACCTTCTATGATCTTAGGAAGTGATACTCTATCCGTGCAACTACTCTATATCTATGTTTTTGTTTGTTTTTTTATATCTATGTTTTATTTGTCAACAAAATAATTCCAAATTACTGAATCTTCATATTAGCTGGTCTTCCTAAGGAAGGAACAACAGTGAAACGATCGATCATGGGAGCTCAATGGAAACTTGTAAAGAGCTTTTCACGACTCACCAGAAAAAGACACAGAAAGGGCAGCTCTATGACAGTAAGAGAATGCATTTATTCTTGCTCAAAAAAAGCAGTAAACTTTTATATATTGGCATTAGTAGGAAGAAATCCTTGAGCGTTTTGATAGTTATCAGACTTTTATAGTCATGCTCTGGGAATAGATATGGAAAACAAAAAAAAAATATTCCACATGTCATTTATTTAAAATCAATTGTGCAATCTGCAGACAATAAGCTCAGAGTCTATCAATTATTAAAGAATGTCCTATATCTTTAAGGCACTGCATTCTTCATAGTTACAAGCCACATATAGTCAAAAATGATGCCAAGAATATTTAACAATGGTAAAAATTAAAAATTACTAGACTTTTTTATATTCAATGTTGACTATATCCATATCCAAAATGCCATAGGTGAGAGATAAACATTAATTCATCATACATGGTCACTGATTTTACTTCAAGACCTGTAAGATGAGTACTTTATTGGATGCCATGAAGGAAAAATATAATGAACCCAATGAACTTAATAATTTGATATCCAACTGCTGTTCAATATAGTACTGGGAGTACTTGCAATAGCGATTAGGCAAGAAAAAGGTATTAAGGGCATTCAGGTAGGAAAGGAAGAAATCAAGCTCTCACTATTCGCAGATAATATATATGATACTATACATAGAGAACCCAATAACCTCCACCAAAAAACTCCTAGAAACAATAGACTTGTATAGTAAAGTTGCAGGCTATAAAATCAATACTCAAAAGCCATGGCTTTCCTATACGCAAACAGTGAGAGAGAAGAAAGCGACATGAAAAAAACAATCCCATTTACAATTGTGCCCCAGAAAATCAAGTACCTAGGAATCAGCTTAACTAAGGAAATAAAGGACCTGTACAAAGAAAACTACAAAACGCTACTTCAGGAAATAAAAG